GTTGAGACTAGAAGCGCGACGTATGCATGTACGGCTCATGCCTTTGCGCATGTAGCTCGTGACAGCAGTCCTCCTCGGCCGGGATGCATACATCGAGTGCGCAGGGGCAGAAGGCATGGATGGCAGGAAGGAGCATAAGGGCGGTGAGAGGCAGAGAGGGGCCACCGGTTCCTACCATGGCGGGAGGTGCGCGATTGGGTAAGAGGAGTGTAGTACCCACCCTTACCTCTACGAAAGTCTGATTGTGTACCCCTATTACCCCGTAGTTTCGGTAGCCCCACCACCCCCTCGAGTCCTCCGAAGCTCCAGAAGGCTGAGTAGTTGAGTAATCCCTAGCTACCGGGAAAGGGCGACATAGACGTGTGGGTTTCCAGGTGAAGTCGACTGCCTGCGACAGTCAGCGATCGGACTGCCCGTGAGACTTGTTGATGGTGAACGCCAAGGACAGAAGAAAGGGGACTGAATTGGATCTGTGGCAACATGTCATGATAGTTGCCTCCGCCATGTTGCGATAGCTGAAGCCGGGTTCCATTACACAATTTGGGAGGTGACTAGCAGGATGGGAGCAGCGACCTTGAGCGAGAGCTCATGAGGAGGGAAACCACCCGGGCTGAGAGAGTCGGAGAAATTCCACAATGGGGAACTGGACTACTTCTTCCTGATCCATGACCGTGTATCAATTGAATGATACGTTCTAGGCGGAGTGGGAAGTCGTTGAAGGATTGCCGGGCTTACCTTAGGTGCGGCATTGTTGATCGGGCACTGAAAGGATTTCTTGCAGTGACAACGATGCCAAGCTCTGCACATTGTGTAGGAGATCAGGGAAGACTTTTTCGACCAGTTCCTGTTGAGAATTGACCGAAGAACAAACATTTGGAGCAAGATCAATCATGCTGTCAACCCGGGGTCGGGAGTAGATCCTCACCGACCATCAGTAGCCTGATCGCAAGCTCTTGTGCGTATACTTCCCCACTGAACGCAGCACGCATGTTTCTTCTGAGACTGAGGGGTTGAGCTCTGGTCCACAAAGACGAAGACTTGATTGACGCCTCAATCTCCGGTTTGACGAAAGTCACCTGCCCAAACAGCTAACACTCGGCCCATGGAGACATCAAGTTGTTTGTTGAGACTACTGATCGGAGCTATATTCTTTCCTCAGCCTATGGCAAGCAGCTGATGTGGCTCGTTGCACAGGTGCTGGA